GCAAGGCTTGGCCTTGGTTTCTCAATGTACCTCACACTCCAGGCTCTTCTCATCACTGTGTATCCGGAGGCGTCTTGGGAGCAGGAATTCAGGTAGCCGGAGCCAATACCACCATGGTTATGTTTAAGACCTGGGCTTGTTTTTATTTCTTTTCTTTGCATAGTTTTATCACAGTGTAACTTACCATTGCCACTCGTTTCCGGTGAACATTGCAGTGGTGTTACGGACATTCAACTGTTGTGCCGGCCACACCACCATCATATCCATCTCTTTTCCCATCTTCTCCAACTGGAACTCTGCCCCATAAACAACATTGCATTCCTCCCCCCAACCCCAACTGGTACCTCCATCTTTCCTTCCGTCTCTGCTTCCAATGGCCCTGGGGACCTAATGTGAGTGGAATCACGCAGTAGTTGTCTTCTTTTGACTGGCTTTTGCACTGAACATAATGTACTCAAGGTCCATGCACGTAGTAACTTGTGTCACAATGTTCTTCCCGTTTTGTTAATTGAATCTATTGGGTTGAGAAAGGTTAATAAGGTCATGTAGGCTTCAGGTGTACAAGTCTATAACCCACCATCTGTATATTGTACTGTGTGTTCACCACCTCAAGTCAAGTCTCCTTCTATCACTATTTGACACTTAACCCTCTTCCACCTCCGCCACCCCTTTTCTTCCTGTAGTCACTATAGTGATGTCCTTGTCTATGAGTTGCTGTTTTTCTTTGCTTAATCCCTTCACCCACTCACCCAGCCCCACAACCCTTTCCCCTCTGACCACTCTCAGTCTGTTCTCTTCCTATGAGTCCGTTTCTATTTTCTTTGTTAATTTATTTTGCTTATTAGATTCCATACATATGTGAAATTATACGGTATTCATCTGTCTCTGACTGGCTGATTTCACTTACCAAATGCTGTCCAGGTCCATCCATGCTGTCACAAATAGTTAAGATTCCCTTCTTTTACACAGCCAAGTAGTATTCCATTGTGTCAATGTACCAAAGCATTTTTATCCTCTCATCTTCTAACGGGCACATGGGCTGCTTCCAAATCTTAGTATTGTAAATATCACGGTAATGACCATAGCAATGAGTATATTCCTCCCAATCAGTGTGTCTGATATCTTGGAATACATTCCCAGAATTGGAATCACTGTTACATGGACACATGGAAGTTCCATTTTTAATTTTTTGAGGTAACTCCTTGCTGCTTTCTGCAGTGGCTTAGTAAAATGCATTCTCCCCATAGCTGCGCTGCTCTGTACCTGCACACAATGGTGAGCCCCAATCAGCATCACAGCCCTCCCTTAAGAGGCCCGTGGGGTGGACAGGAGGGATGCAAGGCTTGGCCTGGGTTTCTCAATGTACCTCACACTCCAGGCTCTTCTCATCACTGTGTATGCGGAGGCGACTTGGGAGCAGGAATTCAGGTAGCCGGAGCCAATACCACCATGGTTATGTTTAAGACCTGGCCTTCTTTTTATTTCTCTTTTTTCCATAGTTTTATCACAATGAAATTTACCATTTCCACTGTTTTGCGGTGCACAGTGCACTGGTGTTAAGGACATTCATACTGTTGTGCCGATGACACCACCATCATATCCATCACTTTTCCCATCTTCTCCAACTGAAACTCTGCCCCCAGTAAATAACTCTGCATCCCTCACCCCAACCCCACCACCACTGTTACCTCCATCTTGCCTTCCGTCTCTGACTCCGATGGTCCTGAGGACCACATGTGAGTGGAATCGCACAGTAGTTGCCTTCTTTTGACTGGCTTTTGCACTGAACATAATGTCTTGAAGGTCCATCCATGTTGTTGCTTGTGTCACAATGTTCTTCCCGTTATGTAAATTGAATCTATTGGGTTGACACAGGTTAATAAGGTCATGTAGGCTTCAGGTGTACAAGTCTATACCCCATCATCTGTATATTGTACTGTGTGTTCACCACCTCAAGTCAAGTCTCCTTCTATCACTATTTGACACTTAACCCTCTTCCACCTCCGCCAACCCTTTTCTTCCTGTAGTCACTATAGTGATGTCCTTGTCTATGAGTTGCTGTTTTTCTTTGCTTAATCCCTTCACCCACTCACCCAGCCCCACAACCCTTTCCCCTCTGACCACTCTCAGTCTGTTCTCTTCCTATGAGTCCGTTTCTATTTTCTTTGTTAATTTATTTTGCTCATTAGATTCCACACATATGTGAAATCATAGGGTATTCCTCTGTCTCTGACTGGCTGATTTCACTTACCAAATGCTTTCCAGGTCCATCCATGCTGTCACAAATAGTTAAGATTCCCTTCTTTTACACAGCCAAGTAGTATTCCATTGTGTCAATGTACCAAAGCATTTTTATCCACTCATTTTCTGACGGGCACATGGGCTGCTTCCAAATCTTAGTATTGTAAATATCACGGTAATGACCATAGCAATGAGTATATTCCTTCCAATCAGTGTGTCTGATATCTTGGAATACATTCCCAGAATTGGAATCACTGTTACATGGACACATGGAAGTTCCATTTTTAATTTTTTGAGGTAACTCCTTGCTGCTTTCTGCAGTGGCTGCATAAAATGCATTCTCCCCATAGCTGCGCTGCTCTGTACCTGCACAAAATGGTGAGCCCCAATCAGCATCACAGCCCTCTCTTAAGAGGCCCGTGGGTTGGACAGGAGGGATGCAAAGCTTGGCCTGGGTTTCTCAATGTACCTCACACTCCAGGCTCTTCTCATCACTGTGTATCCGGAGGCGACTTGGGAGCAGGAATTCAGGTAGCCGGAGCCAATACCACCATGGTTATGTTTAAGACCTGGGCTTGTTTTTATTTCTTTTCTTTGCATAGTTTTATCACAGTGTAACTTACCATTTCCACTCGTTTCCGGTGAACATTGCAGTGGTGTTAAGGACATTCAACTGTTGTGCCGGCCACACCACCATCATATCCATCTCTTTTCCCATCTTCTCCAACTGGAACTCTGCCCCATAAACAACATTGCATTTCTCACCCCAATCCCCCACCACTGGTACCTCCATCTTGCCTTCCGTCTCTGCCTCCGATGGCCCTGGGGTCATAATGTGAGTGGAATCACACAGTAGTTGTCTTCTTTTGACTGGCTTTTGCACTGAACATAATGTACTCAAGGTCCATGCACATAGTAACTTGTGTCACAATGTTCTTCCCGTTTTGTTAATTGAATCTATTGGGTTGACAAAGGTTAATAAGGTCATGTAGGCTTCAGGTGTACAAGTCTATAACCCATCATCTGTATATTGTACTGTGTGTTCACCACCTCAAGTCAAGTCTCCTTCTATCACTATTTGACACTTAACCCTCTTCCACCTCCGCCATCCCTTTTCTTCCTGTAGTCACTATAGTGATGTCCTTGTCTATGAGTTGTTGTTTTTCTTTGCTTAATCCCTTCACCCACTCACCCAGCCCCACAACCCTTTCCCCTCTGATCACTCTCAGTCTGTTCTCTTCCTATGAGTCCGTTTCTATTTTCTTTGTTAATTTATTTTGCTCATTAGATTCCACATGTATGTGAAATCATACGGTATTAGTCTTTCTCTGACTGGCTGATTTCACTTACGATAATGCTGTCCAGGTCCATCCACCCTGTCCCAAATAGTTAAGATTCCCTTCTTTTACACAGCCAAGTAGTATTCCATTGTGTCAATGTACCAAAGCATTTTTATCCACTCATTTTCTGACGGGCACATGGGCTGCTTCCAAATCTTAGTATTGTAAATATCACGGTAATGACCATAGCAATGAGTATATTCCTTCCAATCAGTGTGTCTGATATCTTGGAATACATTCCCAGAATTGGAATCACTGTTACATGGACACATGGAAGTTCCATTTTTAATTTTTTGAGGTAACTCCTTGCTGCTTTCTGCAGTGGCTGCGTAAAATGCATTCTCCCCATAGCTGCGCTGCTCTGTACCTGCACACAATGGTGAGCCTCAATCAGCATCACAGCCCTCTCTTAAGAGGCCCGTGGGGTGGACAGGAGGGATGCAAGGCTTGGCCTGGGTTTCTGAATGTACCTCACACTCCAGGCTCTTCTCATCACTGTGTATCCGGAGGCGTCTGGGGAGCAGGAAATCAGGTAGCCGGAGCCAATACCACCATGGTTATGTTTAAGACCTGGGCTTGTTTTTATTTCTTTTCTTTGCATAGTTTTATCACAGTGTAACTTACCATTGCCACTCGTTTCCGGTGAACATTGCAGTGGTGTTAAGGACATTCATACTGTTGTGCCGGCCACACCACCATCATATCCATCACTTTTCCCATCTTCTGCAACTGGAACTCTCCCCCAGTAAACAACACTGGATTCCTCACCCCAACCCCACCACCACTGGTACCTCCATCTTCTCTTCCGTCTCTGCCTCCGATGGCCCTGGGGGTCATAATGTGAGTGGAATCACACAGTAGTTGTCTTCTTTGACTGTCTTTTGCACTGAACATAATGTCTTCAAGGTCCATGCATGTAGAAGCTTGTGTCACAATGTTCTTCCCGTTTTGTTAATTGAATCTATTGGGTTGACACAGGTTAATAAGGTCATGTAGGCTTCAGGTGTACAAGTCTATACCCCATCATCTGTATATTGTACTGTGTGTTCACCACCCCAAGCCAAGTCTCCTTCCATCACTATTTGATTGCCTTTATCCACTTCCACTTCTGCCACCCTCTTTCCTTCCCGAAATCACAATCGTGATGTCTGTGTCTATGAGTTGTTGTTTTCCTATGCTTAATCCCTTCACCCTCTGACCCAGACCTACAACGCCTTCCCCTCTGACCACTGTCAGTCACTCTTTCTATGACTCTGTTTCTATTTTCTTTGTGAATTTATTTTGCTCATTAGATTCCCCACATATGTGAAATCATACGGTATTAGTCTTTCTCTGACTGGCTGATTTCACTTACCATAATGATTGCCAGGTCCATCCACTCTGTCACAAACAGTTAAGATTCCTTTCCTTATCAAAGCCAAGTAGTATTCCATTGTGTTAACGTTCCAAAGCATTTTTATCCACTCATTTTCTGACGGGCACATGGGCTGCTTCCAAATCTTAGTATTGTAAATATCACGGTAATGACCATAGCAATGAGTATATTCCTTCCAATCAGTGTGTCTGATATCTTGGAATACATTCCCAGAATTGGAATCACTGTTACATGGACACATGGAAGTTCCATTTTTAATTTTTTGAGGTAACTCCTTGCTGCTTTCTGCAGTGGCTGAGTAAAATGCATTCTCCCCATAGCTGCGCTGCTCTGTACCTGCACACAATGGTGAGCCCCAATCAGCATCACAGCCCTCCCTTAAGAGGCCCGTGGGGTGGACAGGAGGGATGCAAGGCTTGGCCTGGGTTTCTCAATGTACCTCACACTCCAGGCTCTTCTCATCACTGTGTATGCGGAGACGACATGGGAGCAGGAATTCAGGTAGCCGGAGCCAATACCACCATGGTTATGTTTAAGACCTGGTCTTGTTTTTATTTCTTTTCTTTGCATAGTTTTATCACAGTGTAACTTATCATTTCCACTCATTTCCGGTGAACATTGCAGTGGTGTTAAGGACATTCAACTGTTGTGCCGGCCACACCACCATCATATCCATCTCCTTTCCCATCTTCTCCAACTGGAACTCTGCCCCATAAACAACATTGCATTTGACACCCCAACCCCTCCACCACTGGTACCTCCATCTTGCCTTCCGTCTCTGGCTCTGATGGCCCTGAGGACCTCATGTGAGTGGAATCACACAGTAGTTGTCTTCTTTTGACTGGCTTTTGCACTGAACATAATGTACTCAAGGTCCATGCACGTAGTAACTTGTGTCACAGTGTTCTTCCCGTTTTGTTAATTGAATCTATTGGGTTGACAAAGGTTAATAAGGTCATGGAGGCTTCAGGTGTACAAGTCTATAACCCACCATCTGTATATTGTACTGTGTGTTCACCACCTCAAGTCAAGTCTCCTTCTATCACTATTTGACACTTAACCCTCTTCCACCTCCGCCACCCCTTTTCTTCCTGTAGTCACTATAGTGATGTCCTTGTCTATGAGTTGTTGTTTTTCTTTGCTTAATCCCTTCACCCACTCACCCAGCCCCACAACCCTTTCCCCTCTGACCACTCTCAGTCTGTTCTCTTCCTATGAGTCCGTTTCTATTTTCTTTGTTAATTTATTTTGCTCATTAGATTCCACACATATGTGAAATTATACGGTATTCCTTTGTCTCTGACTGGCTGATTTCACTTACCAAATGCTGTCCAGGTCCATCCATGCTGTCCCAAATAGTTAAGATTCCCTTCTTTTACACAGCCAAGTAGTATTCCATTGTGTCAATGTACCAAAGCATTTTTATCCACTCATTTTCTGACGGGCACATGGGCTGCTTCCAAATCTTAGTATTGTAAATATCACGGTAATGACCATAGCAATGAGTATATTCCTTCCAATCAGTGTGTCTGATATCTTGGAATACATTCCCAGAATTGGAATCACTGTTACATGGACACATGGAAGTTCCATTTTTAATTTTTTGAGGTAACTCCTTGCTGCTTTCTGCAGTGGCTGCGTAAAATGCATTCTCCCCATAGCTGCGCTGCTCTGTACCTGCACACAATGGTGAGCCCCAATCAGCATCACAGCCCTCTCTTAAGAGGCCCGTGGGTTGGACAGGAGGGATGCAAGGCTTGGCCTGGGTTTCTCAATGTACCTCACACTCCAGGCTCTTCTCATCACTGTGTATCCGGAGGCGGCTGGGGAGCAGGAAATCAGGTAGCCGGAGCCAATACCACCATGGTTATGTTTAAGACCTGGGCTTGTTTTTATTTCTTTTCTTTGCATAGTTTTATCACAGTGTAACTTACCATTTCCACTCGTTTCCGGTGAACATTGCAGTGGTGTTAAGGACATTCAACTGTTGTGCCGGCCACACCACCATCATATCCATCTCTTTTCCCATCTTCTCCAACTGGAACTCTGCCCCATAAACAACATTGCATTTCTCACCCCAACCTCCCACCACTGGTACCTCCATCTTGCCTTCCGTCTCTGCCTCCGATGGCCCTGGGGTCATAATGTGAGTGGAATCACACAGTAGTTGTCTTCTTTTGACTGGCTTTTGCACTGAACATAATGTACTCAAGGTCCATGCACGTAGTAACTTGTGTCACAATGTTCTTCCCGTTTTGTTAATTGAATCTATTGGGTTGACAAAGGTTAATAAGGTCATGTAGGCTTCAGGTGTACAAGTCTATAACCCACCATCTGTATATTGTACTGTGTGTTCACCACCTCAAGTCAAGTCTCCTTCTATCACTATTTGACACTTAACCCTCTTCCACCTCCGCCACCCCTTTTCTTCCTGTAGTCACTATAGTGATGTCCTTGTCTATGAGTTGCTGTTTTTCTTTGCTTAATCCCTTCACCCACTCACCCAGCCCCACAACCCTTTTCCCTCTGATCACTCTCAGTCTGTTCTCTTCCTATGAGTCTGTTTCTATTTTCTTTGTTAATTTATTTTGCTTATTAAATTCCATACATATGTGAAATTATACGGTATTCATCTGTCTCTGACTGGCTGATTTCACTTACCAAATGCGGTCCAGGTCCATCCATGCTGTCACAAATAGTTAAGATTCCCTTCTTTTACACAGCCAAGTAGTATTCCATTGTGTCAATGTACCAAAGCATTTTTATCCACACATCTACGGATGGGCACATGGGCCTTCCAAATATTGGCAATGTAAATACCACTGCAATGAACATAGCAGTGCATAGGTTCGTTCCAATCAGTGTCTCTGATTTCTTGGAATACATTCCCAGAAGTGGAATCACTTTGCTACATGGAAGTACGGAAGTTCCATTTTTAATTTTTTGAGGTATCTACTTACCGCTTTCCGCAGTGGCTACATAAAATGCATTCTCCCCATAGGTGTGCTTCTCTGCACCTGCACACAATGGTGAGCACCACGCATCATCATAGGCTTCTCTTACGAGGCCTGTGGGGTGGACAGGAGCGATCCTCGGCTTGCCGAGGGTTTCTCAAGGGACCTCACGTCCCAGACTCTTCTCATCACTGTGTATCCAGAGGCGTCTTGGGAGCAGGAATTCAGGTAGCCAGAGCTCGTCCCACCATGATTATGTTTAAGTCCTGGCCTTCTTTTTCTTTCTCTTCTTTGCATAGTTTTATCACAGTGAAATTTACCATTTCCACTGTTTTCCAGTGCACAGTTTAGTGGTGTTAAGGACATTCATACTGTTCTGCGGCCCGCAGCACCATCATCTCCATCAAGTTTCCCATCTTCTCCCACTAAAACTTTCATCCCTTTTATACCCTATCCTATGTTCCCCCACTCCATCCCGTGAAGATCACTTTGTGATTTGACATTTGAAAAAATTATTTGAGATGTGCCTTGAAAGCACCAGGACCATTTAAGCAGATGAAGAGGGTGAGATATACTTCAGATACATAGAGTCGGCTCGTGGCCTTGAGGCAGTAGAGATGAACACTGGAGCCCTGAGCACACAGCATTCTGAGGCCGGTGAGTGAGGGGCAGGGCAGGGAAACAGAAAACCTTCCATTGAGTGGGCAGGGCAGAGGAGAAAACGAACCAACCACAGAGTGTTCAGAACAAGGTAGATAGTCGGCCCTCCATGAGAAGGCAGTGAGAAAAGGGACTGAGGGAAGGGACAGAGCTGGAAGTACTGGGAACCCTTCATGGGGGAACACGGGACCCTCCGTGGAGGGGGCAGTGTCCTCTGTCATCTCTCCCTCCTCTTCTGTCCACCCTGCTCTTCCCCCACCATGGAGGGTTGCCAGTCTTCCCTACCCGGCCACCTCCATGAAGGGCCCCCGCTTCCTCTACCCTATACCATCCATTAACCGTCCCCTGTCCCCCTGCCCTGTACACTAAATTGAGGGTCTCCTATCCCACCTGCCCTGTACCTTAAATGGAGGGTCCCCGCTCCCCCCTGCCCTGTACCCTCCATGGAGGGTCCCCTGTACCCCTGCTCTATGCCCTCCATGGAGGGTCCCCTATTCCCCCGTGCCCTTTATCCTCAGGGAGGGTCCCCTGTCCCCCTGCCCTATACTCTTCATGGAGGGACTGCTAACACCAGTCCTTCTCCCTCCATAGAGGGACTCCAGCCCCCGTGTCCTGCCCCCTTTATGTTAGGTCCCCTGTCCTCCCTGCCCTGGCCCCTCCATGAAAGATGCCATGTCTGCCCTGCCAGACCCCGTCCGTGGAGGGTCCACAGTTCCCCCACCTTCCCCACTGCATGGAGGGGGCAGGACAGGGGGCACTGGAGACCCCCATTTCCTCTGCCCTGCCCCATCCCTCAGATTCCCATGTCCCCACTCTCCTGTCCCATCCATGGAGGGTTCCCTGACCCAGTGCCGTGTCCTGTTTCTTCCATGGAGGTGGTCCTATACCCCTGCTCTGCTTCCTCCATGGAGGGTCCCTGTTTTTCTGTCCTGCCACATCCATGAAGGATCCACAGTCCCCCCTCCATGGAAGGTCCCCTACCTCCTGTGCCCTGTACCCTCCATGGCGGTCGCCTGTCCCCCCTGAACTGCCCCCTCCATGGAGGGTCCCCTATCCCCCTGGCCTGTACCCTAAATTAAGGGTCCCCTGTCCACCCTGCCCTGCCCCCTCCATAGAGGGTCCCCTACCCTCTGCCCTGTATCCTCCATGTAGGGTCCCCCCCTTGCCCTGCCCCCTCAATGGAGGGTCTTCTGTTTCCCTGCCCTGTCCCTCACTCACCGGCCTCTGAGAGGTGTGTGCTCAGGTCTCCAGTGTTCATCTCTCCTGCCTCCAGGCCGTGTGCCCACTCCCTATACCTGAAGCACATCTCACCCTCTTCATCTGTACCCCTCAAATATCATTTCAAATGCCAAATCACAGAGTGACCTTTAAAGAAGATAAATCTGATCATGTCATTCTCCTGCCTAACCCACCAACGGGCCCTTTATCCGCTGCCTCTCCTGCACCCAGCCAGCCTGGTTCTCCCTGCCCCGGGGGCACTGCTGTACCTTCTGTGGTGGCTTCCCCTTCTCCATGGGGCCAGCTCTGTCTCAACAGCCGAGTCGGGGTTTCAATCTGACAAGACCTTGGGGAGCTCTTCCTGAGCCTGCTGGGGAATCACCCAGCAGTGTCCCAGCCCAGCCTTGTGGGGATCATGTGGCAACAGGTCACAGAACTAAGACAGGTCACAGAGGTAACCTGGCAACTGTCCTGGGTTAGGCAGGTGGGCAAGTTAACCAGGTGTTTTTCTGTTTGTAAATCAGTGAGTGGACATTTATTGAGCACCAAACCCCAGACCCTGTACTGAATGCGCAGAGGGTGTGGCCCCACACTGCGGTCCTGGCCCTCAGTAACCAGGTGTTCTTGAAAGAGGGGAGTGTGGGCTGGGCAGGAGGGTGGGTCAGGGATGCCATGGGAGAAACTCAACACGCTCTGCTGGCTTTGAGGCTGGAGAAAGGGATCACGGACCAAGGTTTTCCGGAGGCCCCAGCAGCTGGCAGTGGCTTAGGCAGAATCATGGAACGGAATGGTCTCCTAGGAACAGATTCTGCCGCACCCAGGAGCAGGGGCGGCGGGTCTCCTGGAGCCTGCGGGGAGGAGCGTAGCCCCATCAATCTGCCCCAGGTTTCTCACCTACATCACTTGCAGTCACACCTCCATTTGAGGGCATTTGTTAGGGCAGTGATAGAAAAGCAACACAGCCCCTGTTGCTGCCTAGTCTCAGCACCTAAGAGTTTTCTTCATGGCTCTGAGTATCTTCTGAAACAAACTGCTGTTGTTGTTCACTCGTCTTCCAGCCCCTCAGCACTTGAAACGTAACCGGTGAAGGCCCACCCCTAAAGCCCAGGTCCAGGGAGGGCCATAGGAGGAGCACCTGTGTTCCATGAGTTTGGGACTAAAGGGCTCTCTTCTGATTTCATAGAATGTTATTTTGTAATAAACCTGATTCATTATCATATAAACACATATGATTTGTTAAACCTCTTTAGAACATCCCAAACTAGACGTTCGGTGCACAAAAACTTGTGCACTCCGGGGGGAGTGGTCCCTCAGCCCGGCCTGTGCCCTCTCGCAGTCTGGGACCCCTCAGGGGATGACCACCTGCTGGCTTAGGCCCACTCCCCAGGGGATTGGGCTTAAGATGGCAATCAGACATCCCTCTGGCAGCCCGGCAGCCCTCGGGGGATGTCCACTTGCCAGCGGGGAGCAGACCTAAGCTGCAGTTGGACGTCCTTAGCGCTGCTGAGGAGGCAGAAGAGGCTCCAACCACCAACAGTGTACTGGCAGCAGTCAGCCTGGCTTGTGACTGGCTGAGCAGAGCTCCCCCTGTGGGAGTGCACTGAACACCAGGGGGCAGCTCGTGCATTGAGCGTCTGGCCCCTGGTGGTCAGTGTGTGTCATAGTGACCTGTCATTCCCAGTTGTTCTACTGTTAGTTTGCATATTACCCTTTTACTATATAGGATAGAGGCCTGGTGCATGGGTGGGGGTCCCGCTGGGTTGCCTGGTCAGCCTGGGTGTGGGGCTTATGGCTTTTTGCAGGCTGGTCAAGCTTCCTCCCCCCCCCCCCCTGTGGGAACCCTCACCCCATGGAGGTTTGGCCAGCCTGGGTGAGGGGCTGATGGGTATTTGCAGGTTGGCCACCCCCCCTTTAGGGTGGGGGGTCCCCACTGGGGTGCCTGGCCAGTCTGGGTGAGGGGCCGAGGGCCATTTTCTGGCTGGCCAAGCGCCCCCGGCAACGGAAGCTCCCAGCCTCGCCTTTTTTTCTTTTTATTCTGGGATTTATTTACCTTCTATAATTGAAACTTTGTTGCTTTGAGTGGAGCTCAGAGCCAGCCGAGGCAGTGAAGCTTGGCTTCCTGCTCGCTCCAGCTCCGTGGCCATGGCCAGCTGAAAGCAGGTATCTGGGGTTTATTTACCTTCTATAATTGAAACTTTGTTGCTTTGAGTGGAGCTCAGAGCCGGCTGTGGGAAGCTTGGCTTCCTCCATCATTGTGGCAACCAAGCCTCCAGCTCACTCGAGCTCCGTGGCTGCTGGCCGCCATCTTGGTTGGGTTAATTCACATATAGTCGCTCTGATTTGCTGGTGGACGTGGCTTACGGCATAGCAAATGTACGGTCAATTTGCATGTTTGTCTTTTATTAGTGTAGATAAAAAATTCACAAATTAAAATTTTTGTTTTTTTATTTTTAATTGTTTTATTGCTTAAAGTATTACAAAGAATATATGTCTCCTTTTTTTTTTCTCCCCTTGACCCTCCCTAGCCTCCCATGCCCCCCAGTGTCTTGTGTCCATTGGTTAAGCTCGTATGCAGGGTGGATTAAAGTGTGAACCCTGGAGCAAGATTGCCTGGATTGACATTCTAGCTCAGGGGTGGGCAAACTTTTTGACTCGAGGGCCACAACGGGTTCTTAAACTGGACCGGAGAGCCGGAACAAAAGCATGGATGGAGTGTTTGTGTAAACTAATATAAATTCAAAGTAAACATCATTACATAAAAGGGCACGGCCTCTTTTTTTTTTAGTTTTATTCATTTCAAACGGGCCGGATCCAGCCCACAGGCCGTCGTTTGCCCACGGCTGTTCTAGCTCTACCACTTTCCTTGAGAAGAAGAGCAAGTTACCTAACTCATGAGCCTTAGGCTCTTCATTTCTAAAATAGTGAGAATATTTACACCCGAGTTTTTTATGAAAATTAAGTAGGTTTAATAGAAAGAGCTCATCAAAACCATAATGAGGTGCCACTTTACACCCATTAGGGTGGCTATTATCAAAAAACAAAATAACACCAGAAATAACAAGTGTTGCAAAGGATATAGAGAAACTGGATCCCTGCTATACTGCTGATGAGAATGTGAAAATATACAAACACTGTGGAAAACAGTAAGATGGTTTCTCAAAAAATTAAACAATTATCTTATGACTCAGCAGTTACAGTTCTAGGTATGCACTCAAAGAATTGAAAACAGAGATTCAAGCAAATATTTTAGACCCATGCTCACAGTGGTGTGGAAGGAACAAAAAGTGTAAGGAACACATTCTCGTGCACAGATGATTACACAAAATATGACATATACATACAATGAAATACTTAATTTTAAAAAGAAATTTTGACACACACATGGATGCACATTGAAGACATTATGCCAAGGGAAATAAGCCAGGTACAAATCCATAGACAGAAAGCAGAATGGTAGTTCCCAGTGACTTTCAGGGCACAGAATAGAGCATTGTTGTTTAATGGGTACACAGAGTTTCAGTTGGGGGAAGATGAAAGCGTTCTGGAGATGGCTGGTTGCACAACTATGGAAGGTGCGTAATGCCACTTAAAAAATGTTAACTTTACTGTATATTTTATTTTTTGAGCCGAGCCAGCTCAGCCAGGTTCAGTGAGCCTGAGAGGGGGCGGTGAGGGATTGAGAAAAGACAAGAGAAAAAAATCTGGGTCTGGGTAGGACGCTGTCCTCTCTGATGGAGAGCGAGAAACAGCGTCAGAGCCTGTAAGCCACCTCTTTATTTTATAGCCAGATTCCATGGGGCAAAGTAAGGGCATGGTTACAACATTCTCCTGGGTTTCGAATCTACTCAATTACATGCACCTGAACTCTATTAAGCCCACATCACTCAGCCATGTGGGACCACAGGCTCAGACCACAGGTTTAAGCTTACAACTACAGCTTTTGGCTATAATTGTGCTGGGAGGGCTTTGCCCTCCAAACTAGGACTTGCACGTGGCTTTGCCACGAGACGACTGTGCCCTCTCATTAGTCTGAGGCTTGGACAGTCCAAACACTGTAGCTGCTCTCCAGTTTTTTTAAAAATGTTTTCATTAATTTCAGAGAGAGGAAAAGAGAGGGAGTAAGAGGGATAAATAGAAACATCAATGATGAGAAGCATTGATTGGCTGCCTCCTGCATGCCCCCCACTGGGGATGTAGCCCACAACCGGGCACTTCCCCTGACCAAGAATTGAACCCTGACCTCCTGCTTCATGGGTCAATGCTCAATCCCTGAGCCACATTGGCCAGGCTAACGTGTATTTTACAATTTTAAAAGCTCAGAACAGAGACTGTCACATAGTAAGTGCTCCATAAACATTAACTACCCTTAAGGCTTTTGAAAGCGTTCGAGAGAGAAAATTTACACAGTAGATCAGAAATGTATGTGAGAGGATGTCATCTGAGCTGGGACTTAGTGGATGAGTAAGATGGATAGCAGTTACGGTAATTATTACCATCAGCCTTTTATGAATAAAAAGTCAGATGTTAGGTGAAAGGGGTCTTCAAATGCTCGTCAAAATTTAAAATAAATTAATAACTATTACATGCTAGGCATGAGGGTTATATTGATGAAGGGGTCCGAAACACAAATAGGTAAGCATGGAAAATTAATATGTTCAAGGATCAAATACCTCTTACATAATTCCACATTTTATAGGCCAGTTTGCAGTAGTTACTTAAAACTTCGGACTTCAAAGAACTCTGGTTACATCTTAGATCATCCGATTTTTCCACAACCCCACCATTCCACTCCCTTTCCACTTATTTTTCTACTAAAATCCCAAGTATACCTTTTAATAACTCAATGAAATGTACACTTAAAATGGATGCATTTTATTTTAGTAAACAGTACCTCAATAAATTTCATTTACAAAACAAAACAAAATGACAGTATATTTTTAAGAGTTCATTTAGAAAAAAGAAAATGACAATTTTTAATTAAAATATGAATACCTTATTTTTTTCACTTTTAAAAAATATGCTTTTATTGATTTCAGAGAGAGAAAGGGAGGAGAGATAAAAACATTGATTGGCTGCCTCTTGCATACACCCTATTGGTGCATGTGCCCTGACCAGCAATTAAACCATGACCTCCTGGTCCATGGGATAATGCTCAACCATGAGCCACACTGGCCAGGTTGAATACCTTATTTTTAAGAAATTAATGTATTATGGATAAAGCTAAAGTTTCCGTTGACCACCTTCCCAATCTTCACTGCCAACCCTTATCTCTCCCATTTATACAGTCTCCCCCAATTGATCACTGCTGGCAGTGTGATATGGGTTCTTCTGAACTTTTAAAAATATATTTACATACATATATAGCCACTGAAAATGTACAGTACTGTATATATCTTTCAGCAATTTGCTGTTGTCACTTAACATTATGTTTCTGAAAGGTATCCATATTTATATAAATAAAGTTTATTTTTAAAATCTGATATAAATAATCTATTATATGACTATAGTGCATTTTATTTAGCCAGACCTTTCCCCTCCTGACAGATATTTAGGTTGCTTTTCTCTATTACAACTCATCAGTGTAGTGGTAAATAACAGTTACCACTGGGTGGCCATAGGAATAGGAGATGGCGTTCTGTAAGGTTCAACCTTTTACAGTAAGAATGCATTCATGTATTATTTATATAATTTAAGTACTGATTTGAAGAATTTTCTGATACATAAATTATCAAAAAGAAAAAAACAAAAACAAAATTAGTGACAGGAAGCAGTCATCTATTAAAATATATGGAAAACAATGTTATAGGGCATAACAGTGAACTCATGGTTTGAGACATAAGCACTTACTGAAAAATAGTGATATGAGCACTAAACAGGTCATATAAACATTTTCCCCTATGCAAAGCAATTACAATGAAAACATCAGCACATTGGTTATCTTGGCATCAGCATAATTAACACATGCATGAATACTTCATTTATACTTTTTGCTTTCTTCTTTTATGACTATGATATCTTTCCCCATCCCTGAAATGAAAGGGGTAAAAATAAACACTATCATAGCATGATTTCTGATAACTAATCAAGAGTTAATTTCTACAAACTTATTATAAAATATCATTCATTATATGACTCAAAAGTGATTACTAAGCAGATATTTCATTTTTATAAGAGAACGACTAAATCGGAGCTAGCTTTAAATCTTTGAACTGAATGATAGTAAGATAAGTAAAATTATTAAACCAATAAGCCTTACAATTTCCTGATCACCAGCGGCCCTGGAGAGAGAGGCATCATTTGCGAGCCCATTATCAGACAAGCACTGTGCACATAAATCCTACATAAGACATGGGCCTGCCCTCGCAGAGCTCAGAGCCTAGTAAGGAGAGTAATGATTAAGCATGTGCCAGGTAGATAGGTAACAAAATGGAAAAGATCAGCTTCATGGGAATGACTAAGCTGGGTCTTAAAAGATGAAGAGTTTACCAAGCAGGCCTTAGGCAGCAGAACATGACATGGCAAGGTAGAATTGTAGCACAGTGTGGATGAGAAACTGTAGCAATTCGGGCTGGCTAAAGCACTACTACCTATTTCATGGGTAGTGACAAAATACAAGGATAGGTAGGCAGATGCCCTGATCCAGGAGGTCTTGAGAGCCATTCTAAGGAATATGAACTTTGCCACTGAAGAGCTGTAAGAGGTGAAAGTTCACTCTGGCAGCAGGGTAGAGATGAATCCGTAAGGGACAAGCTTCTAGACAGGTAGAGCAATTAGGAAAACAGCCATCCTTTTCCAGATGGACAGCAATAATGACAGAGGAAGGGTAAATGAGGTCTTCAGGTAGAACTGACAGCAATTAAGACTGGATAGTAAGGAATAAGAAAGGAGTATCTAACATGACTCCTTGATTTCTGGCTCAGGTGAACAAATGACGGTCATTCATTAACCAGGATAGGAAATGCTGGGAAAGAGGAACAGGCTGAGAAAAAGATGGCTTCAGGTAAAGCCCCACTGAACATGGGATCTAGGAAGATGCTCAATAAGCAGCTGAAATATAGGATAGACCTCAACTGCTTTTAATTTATTACTTTAGCATTAGTTCATATCACTCAGCTATCAAAATTTTATCAGGGATATTAACAGGGCAAAATTGACTGCTATTAAAGTTTGGATCTTCTCACCGACACTATATACCCTACACCTTAGGAATTAGCAAAGGAAGAAAACAAAAAAAGAGAGAGGGACAGTTGAAGGGAGGAAGGAAGAAGCAGGGAAAAAAACAAACACCTTTTTAACACGATTAACTGTCTACCTACACATGACTTAAGAAACTCTACCTTAAGGTAAACAATTCACTGTTGGATGATACAACGTTAGACTTACCTCTCTTTCCTCCCTCTTGAGTCCCAATTTTTATCTTTATCTTTATTTCTTTTTCGTTTATGTGGGCTCCTACTCCGATCCCTTCTATGCCGTGAACACTCAGCATCCAAATAGCTTCCACCAGACTGCCGTGAATCTACTGAAGCTGATCGCCTTTTTTCTCTCCTGGAACAGACAGGACCATTCATCAGTTCACTTTCTTCACTGGTCTTCAGTGTGCACCAGCCTAAAGTTAATGTTCTGCATCAGACCAATGATACAGGATCTAAATAAGTATGTGAAATCTTACAAGTCATATAAGAGGGCAAAGAGACACCGTTTTTGTTTTTTTTTTAACAAGTTTTACAACTCCAGTGTAATAATCCTGGGCAAAGATGAGAAACAATAAGTGCTCTGATGAATTCTAGTGTGCTACTGATGCCCTTGGAAATACTAAAACTTAAACGATTATAAGAGTTTAAAAAGAGAATATTTTCACCAATAAACACAATGACATACTTTTCAGCATCATCCTCTGCTTTTTCCTGCTCTTCTTGCCAATTATTACTGAGTTCTTCCATGTGCACATTTATCACATCCCGAATCACCTTAAAGAGATAAGCACAGAATTTCAGATAAGAAAGCTATTCAAAAAATTAAGTTTAGAGCTAGAAATAATCACTGCTGACAATAACATATTTATTAAAAGCTACGATAGACTGTGGGATGTATGCAGTTTAGAAAACATTAAAAAGACAAGTCCAATTGGAATATGAATGGCAGATTAAAGTATATCCATGTTAAATTTGCTAAAGTTAATAACTATACTATGATTATGCAAGAAAATATCCCTATTATTCGGAAATAGTATTAGGGATAAAAGATCATAATGAACAGTTCAGAAAAAAAATTAATGTACAGATAGAGACAGAGCAAAAAATGTAACGATAAAGAGCACAAATGACAAGCAAATGGGGCAAAATGTTAACAATGGTGATCTGTATAAAAGACACACAGGAGTTCTTTGTACTATCTTGAGTTTTGCAATTTATTTGTCTGTTTGAGATTTACAAGTAAAACTCTTTCTAAGGAATCTTATAATTAAGTCAAGATGACAGACAAAACATGAAACACACAGTCACTTCACAGATACTTTCCCAGTGAGCCTGTAGATCACTCACCTAAGAACCATTTAAAAGTTTTTTCCTTCCTATTTATCCCATAGCATCGTCAAGCACAGGGGTTGGCCATTATTTGGGTGAAACTGAAACAGAAGGTTACAGTTGGTTCCTGCATGCCTAATTAGGAAAGTTCTAAGGAGAAAGGTATGGGAAACAAGGGGCAACCTCAGAGACACACACTATGAATCAGGTATAACTGATTTTCTCCCCACCTCAAAAAACTTTTCAACAGCTCCTGAAGTAAAATGGAACAATGTCTAAACTCCTTAAAACAGCCTTGGAACCCTTCCACAATTTTACTATACCACATAGAAGTCAGCTTTATCTCCTACTGGATGATCCTTCAAAATCCCTAAGTTCTAGCCACCCTGGATTACTAATGGATCCCTGGAAAACTCCCATACTTTTATTCGTTTTTAGGAACACTAGTTCTTCCACCTGGAAAATCCTTACCCACCATTTCCACTCCTCCACTATATTCTCTTGTGGAAAATCTAAGATAGGAGAAGGCCTACCTCAGGGAGTGGCACGAGTCACACATACCTGAATTCCAATTCAGCTCTAGCACTTCCCTGTATCTCTGCTCAGTAGCTCTATGTGAGCTGTGTGAAACCAAATATTATTAGACATGGTTTCCACAGAGCCGCCACATAGAAAGAGCCTATAAGCAGACATTTACTTACTCCCTTCTGCTTCTCCCTTCTCTCAAATACTATCTTCTCTATGAAGCCTATACCAGTCTTCCCTTTTAAAAAATTGATCCCTCCACCCACACACTTTGATCTCACCTCATTTTAGCACTTACCACAATCTGTGTTTTGAAAAATCTTTTTTATCTCTTAAACTATAATAGCTCCTTAAGGGTGGGGTCTGTGTGCATTTATCTTTATATACCCCACACCAGTATGTTATGCATAGTAACTACACTAAAAATAAATTTTTACTGAAATTAGTCAACGTTCAGGTTCTAAGTCAGAGCAAACAAAAATTATCTATATATATAAAACCCTAAGGGGCCGTTCGACCTGTCAACTGTTCGACCATTTGACCAGTAGCTATGATGCACACTGACCACCAGGGGGCATATGCTCAATGCAGGAGCTGCCCCTCGTGGTCAGTGCACTCCCACAGCGGGAGTGCCGCTCAGCTGGCTGATGGGCGCCAGATGCCAGGCTTACGAGAGGTGAGCACAGCTGTGGCAGCCCGAACCTCTCTGGCTGCCGCAACAGTGCTACTGAGTAGCAGCGGCAGCAGGTCCAGCGGAACCAGGATGAGAACGAGTAGCGTGGCCCTGGCCCGCCCATGCTGGGGCTCCTCCCCATCCGCCTGCTGCTTCGCACACTACTACATCCCTGGGGAGGTCCCAGATTGCAAGAGGCCTCTAGTATAAGATATCAATGAAACTAGGAATGAATATAATGTTGAAAAAGCCCTGGCCAGAGATAAATTACTAAGAAAAAATGTAAACACTGAAGTATTTTCAGATGAAGATATTTGGGATCTGTTTCCAAAACAGAGAAGGAGAAGACAGGTGGTAAATGGGGAATGAATAAAACAAGATCATATGTTGAGGCTGGGTCACGGTACATAAGAGTTCATTAGACAAGTCCATCCACTTTAGGATATGTTTGAATATTTCTGTAATAAAACGTCAGCCATCGCTCTGGCTGGTTTGGCTCAGTGGATAGAGTGTCGCCTGTGGACTAAAGGGTCCCGGGTTCGATTCTGGTCAAGGGCACATGCCCAGGTTGCAGCTTGATCCCCAGTAGGGGGCCATCCAGGGGGCAGCCGATCAATGATTCTCATCATTTATTTTTCTATCTCTCTCTCCCTTTCCCTCTCTGAAATCAATAAATACATGTTAAAAAAAAAAAGTCAGCCATCAAACTGTAAAAAAAACCACTAGCAGCAACACAAACTTGATCACAAAGTTATGAGAGTAGAGAAGAAACAAATGATATACAACAAAGTATTTAATGGACTGTTAGAATCACTAAGGTAGTATAACATGGTCCCAGACCTCTACTGGGAGAGATAAGTCTACAACACATACATACTTTAATTGCAAAAAGAACAGCATAATATTAAGTGCTAGGCTGTGTGGTGCAGAACATCTATCCTATCTAATGAAAGGCTAATATGCAAATTGTCCCCACAGGCGGGAGTTCAACCAACTGGGAGTCAGATGTGCACTGACCACCAGGGGGCAGTGGTGGCAGTTAAGGGAAGGGAGGCCCTGGCCGGCAGCCAGCAACAGTCAGGGACCCTACCAGTGCAGGAATTTCGTGCACTGGGCATCCAAGCCTGTATAATAAAGATGTGATATGCAAATTGACTGTCACGCCCTCACATAAGATGGCTGCCCCATGTGGTCACAGATGGCCACCACAAGATGGCCGGCAAGGGAGGGCAGGAGGGGGCGACCAGGCCTGCAGGGAAGGGAGGGCAGTTGGGGGCGACTGGGCCAGCAGGGGAGGAAAGCTGGAGGCAACCGGGTTGGCAGGGGAGCAGTTAGGCATGGATCAGATTGGCAGGGGAGTGGTTAGGTGTCAATCACGCCAGTAGGGGAGTGGTTAGGGGGTGATCAGGGTGGCAGGCAGAAATGGTTAGGGGCAATAAGGCAGGCAGGCAGGCAACGGTTGGGTGACAGCAGTCCCGGATTATGAGAGGTATGTCCAAATGCTGGTTTAGACCCGATTCCTTGAGCACCTGGCTCTGGTAGCAAGAGGAGATTGTGCCTCTGGGTCCCACAGATCATCTCCTACACAAGGTCACTCCTTCAGGGCTACTTTGCCTAATACATATAGACAAACACAGGGAGTCAGGCAAAATGAGGAAACAAATATGGGTCAAACCAAAGAACAAAACTAACTCAAAAAAAATACCTTAATTTAACAGGTAAGCAACCTACCTGACAAAGACTTCAAAGTAATAATCATAAAATTGCTCACTGAACTGCAGATGAACATGAAACTTTAAGGACAGAAAATATAAAAAAGGACCGAAAACAGAAATTATAACTGAACTGGAAAATACACTAGAAGGGTTCAACAGCAAACTGGATGAAGTAGAAGTAAAAATAAGTGAGTAGGAAGACAAAGCAATGAAACACCCAGACAGAGCAGCAAAATAAAAATAAAAAAGAATTTTAAAAAGAGAAGCTACCTCAGGAGACCTCTGTGATAACATCAAGTGGAATAACATTCACATTATAAGGGTCCCAAAAGGAGAAGAAAGGGCCAGAATAGTTATTTAAAGAAAAAATGGCAAAAACATGTCCCTAATCTTGGAACAGAAACAGACACCCACGTAAAGGAAGCCCAGAGTTCCAAACAAGATGAAACCAAAAGAACCACACCAAAACACATAATTAAAATGTTAAAGTTGCCTTGGCTGGTTTGGCTCAGTGGATAAGAGCATCAGCCTGCGGACTGAAGGGTCCCGGTTTGATTACAGTCAAAGGCACATGCCTGGGTTGTGGGCTCAATCCCCAGTAGGGGGCATGCAAGAGGCAGCTGATCAATGATTCTCTCTTATCATTGATGTTTCTCTCTCTCTCCCTCTCCCTTTCTCTCTGAAATCAATTAAAAATTTTTTTTAAATGTTAAAGTTAAAAATAGAGAATCTTAAGGGCATTAACAGATAAACAACTTATTACATACTATTGGCCTGGTGCATGAAATTTTTGCAGTGGGGGGAGAGGGGGGATCCCTCAGCCTGGCCTGCATCCTCTTGCAGTCCAGGGCACCTCGCTCCTTACCGCTCACTGCAGCAGAGGCGGGAGAGGCTCCCACCACTGCAGCTGTGCTCAACAACTGTGAGCCTAGCTTCTGGAAGAGCAGTGCTCCCCCTGTGGGAATGCACTGACCACCAGGAGGCAGCTTCTATGTTGAGCGTCTGCCCCTGGTGGTCAGTGTGCATCATGGTGACCGGTCATTCTGCTGGTCTTTCCGCCATTCAGTCGCTTTGCATATTAGGGTTATATTATATAGGATAAGGCAAACCCCATAAGGCTACCTCAGATTTTATTTTTTTCAGCAAATCTTTATAGGCCAGAAGGGAGTGCCATAACATCCAAAGTGCTGTAAGAAAAAAATTTCCAACCAAGAATTCTCTACCTGCAAGGTTAACATTAACATCTGAAAGAGAGATCAAGAGTATTCTAGATAAGTAAAAGCTTAAAGAGTTCATCACCATTAAGCCAACCTTACAAGAAATGTTAAATGAACTTTTCTAAGCTAAAAAGAAAAGGCACTAATTAATAAAAAAAAAAACATACTCTTGAAAAGGTAAAATACATGCACATTTGAAAAGTTAAATATATAGTAAACGTATCAAATCAATCATATATAAAGCAAATATCCAGGTTAAAAGACAAAACAAGTGAAAGTAAATAAAATTACAACCAAGGAAAAGATAAACATAGA